AAACAAAATGAGAAATTTAATGAAGAGACAAATCATAAAAAAGAACCAAATTCTAGAGTTGAAGAATATAATGAGTGAAATGAAAACTGCAATAGATAGCATCAACAACAGAATGGATCAAGAAGAAAGAATCTGTTGAACTTAATAGATATATTCAGAATATTTCATCTTAAAACATCAGAATACACATTCTTTTCAAGTGCACATGGAACACTCACCAGAATAGATCATGTATCAGGTCACAAAACAAGCTTCAACAAATACAAAAAGATTGAAGTCAAACCATGCACCTTTTCCAACCACAACACTGTGAAACTAGAAGTCCATCACAAGAAAAAATTTGGGAAGATCACAAATACATGGAGGTTAAACAACATGCTACTAAACAATGAACAGGTCAACCTGGAAATCAAAGCAGAAATTTCAAAACATACATGGAAACAAATGAAAATGAAAACACAAAGGTCCAAAACCTTTGAGATGTAGTAAAAGTAGTCCTAAGAAGGAACTATATAGCAATAGATGCCTACCTTAAGAAGCAAGGAAAATCTCAAACAATCTAACCTTACACCTAAAGGAGCCAGAAAAAAAAATAACAAAGCATAAAGCCAGCAGAAGGAAGGAAATAATAAAGATTAGAGCAGAAATAAATGATAATAGAAACTACAAAATAGAACAGATCAATGAAACCAGGAACTGGTTCTTTGAAAGGAAAGAGGAGAAATAACAACGAACACCATAGAAATACAAACAATTGGGGCATCTGGGTGGCTCAGTTGGTTAAGCGACTGCCTTCGGCTCAGGTCATGATCCCAGGATCCTGGGATCAAGCCCCACATCGGGCTCCCTGCTGAGCAGGGGGCCTGCTTCTCCCTCTCCCTTTGCTGCTCCCACTGCTTGTGCTCTCCTGCTCTCTCTCTGTCAAATAAATAAATAAAATCTTTAAAAAAAAAAAAAAGAAGTACAAACAATTATAACAGAATATTATGAAAAACTATGCCAACAAATTGGACAACCTAGAAGAAATGGATAAATTCCTAGAAACATATAAACTACCAAAACCACAAGAAGAAATAGAAAACTTGAACAGACTGATAACCAGCAAAGAAATTGAATCAGTAATCAAAAAACTCCCAGCAAACAAAGTCCATGACCAGATGGCTTCACAGGCAAATTCTACCAAACACTTTAAAGAAGAGTTAATACCTATTCTTCTCAAATTATTCTAAAAAATAGAAAAGTAAGGAAAATTTCCAAATTCATTCTTTGAGGCCAGCATTATGCTGATACCAAAACCAGATAAAGACACCCCTAAAAAAGAGAACTAAAGGCCATATCTCTGATGAACACAGATGCAAAAATTCTCAATAAAATACTAGCAAATCAAATCCAACAATACATTAAAAAAATAATTCACCCCAATCAAGTGGGATTTATTCTTGGGTTGCAAGAATGGTTCAATACTCTCAAATCAATCAACGTGATACATCACATTAATAAAAAAAAAAAAGGGTAGGAACCATATGATCATTTCAATAGATGCAGAAAAAGCATTTCACAAAGCATGACATCCATTCATGATAAAATCCATCAACAATGTAGGTTTAGAGGGAACATACCTCAACATAATAAAGGCCATATATGAAAAACCCACAGCTACTATCATCCTCAATGGGAAAAACCTGAGAGCTTTTCTCTATAGTCAGGAACAAGACAGGGATGTCCATTCTCACCACTTTTTTTTTTTAAGATTTTATTTATTTATTTGACAGAGAGACAGCGAGAGAGGGAACACAAGCAGGGGCAGAGGCAGAGGGAGAAGCAGGCTTCCCGCTGAGCAGGGAGCCCGATGCGGGGCTTGATCCCAGAGTCCTGGGATCATGACCTGCACCGAAGGCAGACGCTTAACAACTGAGCCACCCAGGCGCCCCCATTCTCACCACTTTTATTCAACATAGTACTGGAAGTCTTAGCCACAGCAATCAGACAACAAAAAGGAACAAAAGGCATCCAAATCAGCAAGGAAAAAGAGAAACTTTCAGTATTTGCACATAACATGATACTATATAGAAAACCCAAAATAAACCACAAAAAAACCCACTAGAACTGATAAACCAATTCAGTAAAGTCACAGGATATAAAATCAACATGCAGAAATCTGTTACATTTCTATAACTAATAATGAAGCAGCAGAAAGAGAAATTAAGGAATCAATCCCATTTACAATTGCAACAAAAACAATAAGATACCTAGGAATAAACCTAACCAAAGAAATGAAAGACCTGTACTCTGAAAACTACAAAATACTGATGAAAGAAACTGAAGATAACACAAGGAAATGGAAAGACATTCCATGCTCATGGATTGGAAGAACAAATATTGTTAAAATGTCCATGCTACCCAAAGCAATTTACACATTTAAGGCAATCCCTTTCAAAATACCAACAGCATTTTTCATAGAGCTAGAACAAACAATCCTAAAATTTGTATAGAACCACAAAAGACCCCAAATAGCCAAAGCAACCTTGAAAAATAAAAGCAAACCTGAAGACATCACAATTCTGGACTTCAAGTTATATTACAAAGCTGTAGTAATCAAAACAGTACGGTACTGGCACAAAAAAGAGACACATAGATCAATGGAATCAAATAGAAAACCCAGAAATAAACCCACAATTATATGGTCAATTAATTTTCGACAAAGCAGGAAAGAATACCCAATGGGAAAAAGACAGTCTCTTCAATAAATGATATTGTGAAAACTGGACAGGAACATGCAAAAGAATGAAACTGGACCACTTTCTTACACTATACACAAAAATAAACTAAAAATGGATGAAAGACCTAAATGTGAGACAGGAAACCATTAAAATCCAAGAGGAGAGCACAGGCAGTAACCTTTTTTTTTTTTTAAGATTTTATTTATTTATTTGACAGAGAGAGACACAGCGAGAGAGGGAATACAAGCAGGGGGAGTGGGAGAGGGAGAGGGAGAAGCAGGCTTCCCACCGAGCAGGGGGCCCGATGCAGGGCTCAATCCCAGGACCTGGAATCATGACCTGAGCCAAAGGCAGATGCTTAATGACTGAGACACCCAGGCGCCCTGGCAGTAACCTCTTTGACATGAGCCATAGCAACTTCTTTCTAGATATGTCTCCTAAGGCAAAGGAAACCAAATCAAAAATAAATTATTGAGACTACATCAAAATAAAAAGCTTCTGCACAGCAAAGGAAATAATCAACAAAACTAAAATGCAACCTATGGAATGGGAGAAGATATTTGCAAATGATGTATCTGATATCTGATAAAGGGTTAGTATCCAAAATATATAAAGAACCTATAAAATTCAACACCCTCCAAATGAATAACCCAATTAAAAAACAGGCAAAAGACATGAATAGACATTTTTCCAAAGAAGACATACAGATGGCCAACAGATACATGAAAACATGCCCATTATTCATCATCAGGGAAATGCAAATCAAAACCACAACAAGGGGTGCCTGGGTGGCTCAGTTATTAAGCGTCTGCCTTCAGTTCAGGTCATGATCCCAGGGTCCTGGGATCGAGCCCCACATCGGGCTCTTTGCTCAGCCGGAAGCCTGCTTCTCCCTCTCCCACTCCCCCTGCTTGGGTTCCCTCTCTCGCTGTCTCTCTCTCAAAAAAAATAAATAAAATCTTTAAAAAAATAAAATAAAATAAAAATAAAAATAACACAACAAGATATCACCTCACACCTGTCAGAAAGGCTAAAATCAAAAACACAAGAAACAACAAGTGTTGGTGAGGATGTGGAGAAAAAAGAACTCTCGTGCACTGTTGGTGGGATTGTAAATTGGTACAGCCACTGTGAAAAACAGCATGAACATTACTCAAAAAATTAAAAACAGAAATGCCATATGATCCAATTATTCTACTATTGAGTATTTACCCCCCCAAAATGAAAACACTAAAAAGATATATGCACCCCTATATTGTTTGCAGCATTATTCACAATAGCCAAGATATGGAAACAATATAAGTGTATATCAACAGACAAATGGATAAGGAAAATGTGGTATATAATGGAATATTATGCAACTACAAAAAATGAGATTGTGCCATTTGAGAAAACATGGATGACCTAGAGGGCATTATGCTAACTGAAATAAATCAGACTGAGAAAGAGAAATACCATATGATTCCACTTATAAGTGGAATCCCCCCCCCAAAAAAAATGAATAAACAAACAAAAAGTAGAATCAGAGGGTGCCTGAGTGGCTCAGCTGGTTGGGTGTCTGCCTTCAGCTTAGGTCATGATCCCAGGGTTCTGGGATTGAGCCCCTCATCAGGCTCTCTGCTTGGCGGGGAGTCCGCTTCTCCCTCTGCCCCTCCCCCTGCTCAAGCTCTTTCTCTCTCTCTCTCTGTCAAATAAATAAATAAAATCTTAATTAAAAAAAGTAGAATCAGACCTATAAATACAGAGAACAAACTGATAGCTGCCAAAGGGGAGTGTAGTGGGAGGGTTGGGCAAAATGGGTGAAGGGGAGAAGGAGATACAGGCTTCTAGGTATGGAATGAATAAGTTACAGGAATAAAAGACAGCACAAGAAAAAAAAGATGTTTATATATATATATGTATACATTGTGTGTATACACACACACACACATATATATGTGTGTATATATATATACATACAATTTAATATTCAGCTACAAGAAAGAAAGAAATCCTGCCATTTGTGACATGGATGGATCTTGAAGGCACTATGTTAAGTGAAGTAAGTCTGACAGAGAAAGACAAATACTTTATGATGTCACTTATATGTGGATTCTAAAATAGCCAAACTCATAAAAACAAAGTGGTGGTGGCCAGGGGCTAGGGAAGAGGGGGATGGAGATCTCTTATATACTTTGGGTGCAGTTTATTGTACATAAATATTACCTCAATGAAATTGTTTTTTAAAAATAGTATGGAAAGATCATCTTTATTCAGTTAAAGGGAGGATAAAAGACTTACCTGGATTTGAAACAATAAGCATCTTACAGTCAGGACTATGTTGGACTATGATAGGAATGATTGATTTCATGATGTTTACGTTACGTTGGACCAGGGCAAGGCGACTTTCTCCCTCCTGTTGGCGTGCACCTGCTGTGACAATAACTAATTTGGAGTTTGCAGATACTATGTAATCTAAAAAGAAACAGAAGGCAATACTTGGATCAAGAACGCCATAATTACTGTGCTGTACTTCTTTGAAAGGCTATTGTATGACCCTGGTATTAAAGTACTCATCTATCAGCATGCCTGGGTGGCTCAGTTGGTTAAGCATCTGCCTTCGGCTCAGGTCATGATCCCAGGGTCCTGGGATCAGGTCCCACATTGGGCTCCCTGCTCTGCAGGGAGCCTCCTTCTCCCTCTACCAGTCCCCCTGCTGTGTTCCCTCTCGCACTGTGTCTCTCTCTCTCAAATAAATGAATAAAATCTTTAAAAAAATAATAATAAAATACTCATCTATCATAAATAAATAAACAAATAAGGTACACATTTACCTTCATGTCTGGCATTTGCTGATGAACAGACTTTCCATGTAGTAATGTTACATTGCATAAGCTGAAGGGGGCCTTGTTACTATGACTTACAAGTTTTCACATTTTTTCCAAATAATAACATATTGTACCATCCCTTTTAGCCCACATTCTCATTTCTTATTAAGGCCTGAGGCAATGCAAGTCAGCTCTCTCTGGCTTCTTAGAAACACCTTATGAAGCTTAAAACTCTGAGAATTTATGTCTGTTTCAAGATTCTAAGGATGAGCATGTATATTTACTTCTAACTATTATAAGGGACTAGATTTGAGATCACAAAGAAGTTCTTGATCCTCACAAGAAGGTAAACTACTTTCTAAATCTGATGACCAGTCATAAAACTGTTTTACCTACTAAATCCAATGATAATATGATATGATGCTCACTATCCTGTACTGGACTTTTTTTTTTTTTTTTTTTTTTT